GACCCCCACCCCCACCCTTGCAGGACAATAGGATCAGGGTCCTAACTGGAAACTTTAAACATGTAAACCAGCAGCAGTTTTACTGCAGCTTTAACTGCAAAATCGGCCCCATATCCCAAAGCTAGCGCACCCAGGAATAATTCTGCCCAGAAAACATCACCAAGGTCTTGTTAAACACAAATCAGACCCATCACAAAATTCTTTTTTTCTCCCCAGTACCTGGAGGATCCATTTCAATATAAAATATCAGTTCTGTCGAATAGGGCATCATCACTTCCCTCCAGTCTGCGTCATCGCGGTCCATACTCCACACGGTATTGTACATCGCGCTGTCAGGGGCAGGTCGTCAAGAAATATATAGAAAGCATATATTTTTTATCTGATATTTAAAAATATATATTTGTAAAAGTCCCACACGGAAATGTACTTCAGGGTTTCCAACGGCCAGTACAAGTCCAGGCAACTACCAGAACGAGGACGAGGTCCTCCACCTCTCTCCTCTACAATATCCAGCAAAATGCCCCCGAACTTTCAATCTACGGGCTTTGCTCGTCCGGTAGGTACAAAGAAGCTGGGGGGAGGAGGGGCCGGAAGGCAAAGGTGTTAAAAAGCGGCTTCCCCCAAACCCCTTTTACACAGTCGCTCTTCAAAGAGAAGAGCTCCCACCACCTCCAAATCTTCCCGCGGAAGCCACTTTTGTGTCCTCTGGTAAATGACGACTGAAGAAAAGAAAAAAATGCGCTGGGAGCAAGGTAGAGAAGTGACAAAGGAAGGCATAAAAAGGGGGCTGGGTATTGCATTCAAGTTTCGGGGTCCAACTGGTCTGCAGAGAGCGATCCCCTCAGGGGCTGGGACTCGGGCTCCGTCTGTTCGGGCTTGTAAACCAAGCTGCTGCAGCCTCGGGACCGGGGCCCGTTGGAGAGTCCAGTTAGCTCCGTTTGGCTGGGGGCTCCCGCCCGGCTGCAAGCAGCCTCGCCGGTGCCGGCTTCCCTCACGCTCTGCTCTGACTCCAGTCACTAGTTTCATTTTAACTGCACGGAGGGGGACACCCTTCCCCGCCTCCTTGCTCCCCCACTGAGAGGCACCCAACCACGCTAGGCAGGGGGACAGCCAGCATCATACTGCCCCTCCGCTCTATCCAGCCTTGATATAGCGGGGAATTCTGTGAGGTGCCTGAGTAAGTGCTCTGAAAAATATCCTTCACCTCGGCTTTCACCTCTCCCCGCTGCTCTCTAGGCCTCAGCCCCTTCATCACCCATCCACTCTCCCCCCAGCCCCGATTAGAATGGTACGGTCCGGGCGCTGGCCGCACGCCAGGAGTCGGTGCCCGGAGCACGCGAGCCGGGCTGGGAGGGGAGGGGAGGGAGGAGCGAGAGGGGAAGAGAGGATAAAGTGGGTGGTGATTGGCTGATCCCGGTTGCCCGAGCCCGGAGCCTGCGTCTTTTGTCTGCCTCGCTCCAGCTAGGGAGCGGGAGACGGCTGCGCGCCCCAAGCGGGCCAATCAGGAGCCAGCCGGTGCCGGCCGGTGAGGCAGCGATTGGCCGGAGCTCAGTTACTAAGCGGGACAAAGGCAGAAGGAGGAAAGAAAAGAAGAGGAGGAGAAAAAAAAAAAAGAAGAAAGAAAGAAAGAAAGCGCAAACGGCCGTTACTGACAGGCTGGGCGAGCGCTTGGGGGGCTCAGGCTGCCCGGAGACAGGCGAGGCTCCGGCTGAGGCTCGGTCCGCCCGGGCGAGTGAGGAGAGGGGGAGGACCGGCTGGCGCGAGACGTCTCTGCCTCTGCCCCGAGATTGGCCGCGGGGGAGGGGAGCGGACGGAGAGGGGCTCTTGCTGTCACTTGGTGGGACTCGCGCTCTTCAGGTCCTTGGAAGTCCGGGGGCAGAGCCCCTCCCCACAGACCTCTTCACCCCCTATGCGAAGTTGTCAAATAAAGCAAAGGTCCCTAAACCCACTTGCCGGACGGTTACCGCTCAGTAAGAGGACTTGCCCGTGGTCCCCTGCGACCTTCTCCCCCAGTTGCCTGAGCCCAGTCCCGGCTCCTCCCGGGCAATCAGGCATTTCGTGAGGAGGCATTTCTCGGTTCCTCTGCGCTTCCCACCCAAGGACTTTTGAACCCAAAGATAACTCCCCACACCCGAAATAGTGGGACGCCACAGCAGGCCCTCAGCTGGAGTGCTCAAGCCTGGAAAAAAAAGTGGCTTGGCATTACAGTGCGGGTAAGATTTCTGAGGTGAATCACAGGTGTTGGTACCCCTCGCCAAGAGGGCTCTATTCAGTTTCTCCGACAGACCCTCTTCCACATACACTCAGTCCCTCCCCGACCCCACTCCAAGCTTAAAACTGTGATAGGATTCAGTATGTAAACGCTGAATATTTCCGTGCATTTCAGAAACAGCTGATTAACTTGCTGGGGAACCCTGAATAGCCAAAAGCAGGTTTGTGTCCTGTGAAGGTTGTGCCTGGAATTGCCATTCTGCAGACCCTACAATACAGTCTTGGGAGGCCAAAAACTGCTCCATTTCCTCTTTACACAGGAGCAACAAAGCCCATTGTGTTTGAGTTGACAACCTGACTTAAGCCCTAGAGAAACCTCCTACCCTGAGTGGCTCTGCTATATTGATTCATGCCTGTGGAAGAGTTGCCACATTAAACCTCTACCTCTTAAAGTGGTTCTGCCCTCCTTAAAGGTTCTCGGAGTTGAGACAGTTCCTGGAAGCAGGTGCTCAAAATGTGTATGGACTGGATATAGAGTCATGGATTAAAAAGAGCCACTAGAATGAATGGACAGGGTTGAGCTGAAAAAACACATTAGGATTCTTATATGCTTGCTTTCTTATATTTCTAAACTCCAAATGTAATTCAGAAGCCAGATCAACTTTGGTAAAGGACATGTTGTTAATTTAAATGTTCTGAACCATTCCTCTAGGTAGAAGATGCTGGAAAATCAGCTCTAATCTGTGGCTGGCTTTCCAGCAGTCCCTTTAACTTCACTATATCTGGGAGCCGGAAGTACTTATATTTGATAACTCAAATCAGTCAAGGGCAAGTTGATTTATTTTTGTTCATGGGTGTCCCTGTGCATTCCCAAACAAAATGAAGGTGAAGAGAGGAAGTGTGGAAAAAATAATGGCTTTCAGATTTCCACAGCAGCTTTTGCCTGGACCACTTTTCATCATTTAGTGGTAAGGTTTCAATTTCTAATATACAGAGCAACCACCGAGGCTTTTCCCACAGCTATGACTTTGGGAGATGTAGTAAAGAAGCAGCACAGTATATAATCTGGTGCTCAAGACTGGCACATGGAATAAAACTGTGATTCAACCTTGCCACCTAAAATTGTATTGACACAACGGTCCAACAAATAAACCTTTGAATAGGAAACCTCTGAAGAATAACAGTGATGCAAGAGGCAATAATGAATCAAGGGGAAGCAAATTTCCTTAGAATGGGCTTGAACCCGTGCCCTGCCATGATGGGAAGTGCCTGTCATATGATGCTGGCCTTAGGTTCTTTCAGTTGAGAAATACAAGTGAGGTTCTGACTGTCACCAGATCGCCTCAGGCTCTTTGGCAAAAGTATTAGCTCTGGTGTCCTGGACCATTTCCATCCTGGAGAATTATATTTGGCCTGGGTGTGGATTAAATTCAGCTATAATAGCTCAAACTCGTGGGTCACAGCTTGCTACTTTGGAAGTTGTTTTCTTTTTTCCTTTTGCCTTCCTCCTTTCCTTTTTTCAATGTAAAGTAGTCTTTGGTAAATCACAAAATCTGTCTGGCTTCACTTATATATCTGTGAAATGGGAGATTGCCTTCAGATTTATGCAAGCTTCTTCATTTATTGTGAAACACACTGAGAATGGAAAAAAAATGCCACTTAAGTATTTAGAATTAATAGTTTCTTTCTATACCTCCAGATGGATAGGGTTGCCCTTCACTTTTCACCCTAGTATGGTCTTGCTATGAAACTGTTCCAATAAGATCCATTTCTCCTTTATTTCAGAGATGGCTGAAATATTTCTTCTGTGCACTGAATATAGGGTATGATCTCAGAGCTCTCTGTGCCAGCAGAATCAGCCTGGAATTCAGCCAAAAGTTCTTCATGATTAAAGGTGTCATCTGAGCATACAATAATTTTTTAAAGCCTTGCAAAATGGAAACATACTTTTGTTATTTTTTAAGGTCACTAGCTTTAACCTCAAGACTGACTTAACCTTTGGGGAAGGATCAATGGCCTCAATCTCCCTCTTTTTCCCCCTCTCTTATCCTTTCTTTGACCACTTGTCTTGTGTTAAGACCAAGTCCATGAGACTAAATAAACTCAATAAATAAGTTTCCAAGAAAACTCTACAAATTATCAGTTGCAGATTCAGGACCTCCCCAGCTGCCTGCCTTGTATAAGGTGGGGATATATCAAGTTTTGATGGAAAGATTTGCCTTTAGAATGTAAAAAGAACATTCTAGAAAGACATCTCACCTGGGAATTGATTATCATCTCTTGAGAAAGCAGCGTCTAAAATCATGATTTTTCCAGAATGGTATGCCTTTTACTTGGCATTTGCAATTTTTTTAACCTCACCTCTACGTATTTCTTAGAACTGTAAAACCATAAGAAGGTTCATCATATCAGCTTAAGGCACTGAGAAATTATGACATTAGATAAATGAGTGGTCTTCATAGAAGTGTCATTCCTCCAAATGCTAAATTTTTGGGCTTAGGGACACTGTTTGAGGGCTTCCTCAGACACATCAGAACATGATGTAGATCTTCTCTGCCTCACTCCACTTTGGGTCCTCCTTTAGCTTTAAGGTGTCACAAAAAAGCAGATCTTTCCCTCTAGTCTAACATGCCCCCCCCCCCTTTTTAGTGTGTGCCCGTCCAACAACACAGGGGCCACCTGGATGGTATGTATGCCACTGCTGCAAGCTTCCCCTCCATTGAGGCAACAGCTTTCAGCTTTTTCTCTCACCAGGAGAGAGAAAGCAAATGAGATCCAAATGACAGGAACAATAGTCCAGGCTGTTTCACAAGGGCAGGGCACAAACAGGGCCGGCAGCTGTGAGCTCTATTACCTCATTTAATCTCCATCACCCTGAGGAGGAGGGTTGTATTTTTATTCTCATTTTACAGATGAGGACATTGAGACCCAGAGCAGTGAGGAGACTTGTTCAAAGTCATGCAGTCACTCAGTAGCAGAGCCAGGATTACAGCCCCAGTTCCAGACAGCCAGTTCAGTGCCTTTCCCACTACACCACACAGCTGGCTTCTCCTCTTCATTCGCTTAGCAAATGTTTATTAATGCTTCCAAACACTGAGGATACTAAGATGAGTAAGACAAAGTGCCTAACACTGAGTCCAGAACCTTCAGAGCAGGCCAACCAAGGAATGACTAAATCCTAGGCACGGTACATGATAAATACTATAATAAAGAAACTGACGAAGTGCTGTGTGAGCCCCCAAAACAGTGATGATCTCTGCCCACATGCAGGTGAGTAAAGGCTTCCTAGAGGAGGTGACATTTGGGCTGCCCCAAACTTATGTGCACCTGCTTTAAACATGTGGTCTCTTCTCAATTTCCCCAATCCATATGATTAGCTCCAAGCTTGAAAAAGTTTCACTGAAAGCTGACCCAAAGATCAGGTCACCAAGGAGTTCCTCCTCATCTTTTTTTTTAATTTTTATTGTTTAAAATATTACAGATGTCCCTTTTTCTCCCCAATGACCCGTTCCACCCTGTTCCTTCCCCCTCCCCAGTCCCTCTCCCCACCATTGTCCATGTCCTTTGGTTGTGCATATATGCACATAAATTCTTTGGTTACTCTCTCCCCCTCCACGCACCTGCCCTCCTCCATCCCTCTGACATTCATCAGTCTCATCTATGCTTCCATGTCATTGAATTATTCTGTTCATTAGTTTATTAAGTTCTTTAGATTCCACGTATAAGCGAGATCATGTGATATTTGTCTTTCGCTGCCTGGCTTATTTCACTTAGCATAATATTCTCCAGGTCCATCCATACTGTCCCAAAGGGTACGAGAT